TCTATTATTTTCTTCTTTGTATCCATGTGTACTCAATGTTTAGCTCCCAATTATAACATGAGGTATTTGGTTTTCTGTTTCTACGTTAGTTTATTTATGATAATGGACTCCAGCTCCATCCATGCTGCTGCAAAGGACATGGTCTCATTATTTTTGATGGCTGCATAGTATTTCATGGTGTATATGTACCACATTTTCTTATTCAATCTACTGTTGATGGGCATTTAGGTTGATTCCATGTCTTTGCTATTGTGAATTGTGCTGCGATGAACATACATGTGCATATGTCTTTATGGTAGAATAATTTATATGCCTTTGGGTGTACACCCAATAATGAGACTGCTGGGTCAAGTGGAAGTTGAGTTCTTTGAGAAATATCCAGACTGCTTTTCACAGTGGCTGAACTTACATTCCAACCAGCAGTGTAAAAGCATCCCTTTCCTCTGCAGCTTTGCCAGCATCTGTTATTTTTTGACTTTTTAATAATGGCCTGAATGACATATTTGAATTCATTAGTTTGATAAGAGTTTTAAAATATCAAACACACTTTCCCACAGTGTTCATTTTGTTTATATTTGCTTATCTCGATAAATTGTTAACACAAAGAAATGAAAGCTTCAATGTACAATGAAGCCATATCTGTGCATTTATTCGAAGACTTTAGGTGTCAAATTTGCTTATCACACTGCGTAACAACTGGTTCTATTTTTGGAATTTTTAAAATTTATCTTAATTTCCACGTTAGGTTCTAAATTACTGAGATTGGTCATCTATAAACCCTGTATTCACCAGACAATGGCCTCAGTATATCCTGTGCTTGGTCACAAACTGACATTCAGTCTATAATTATTACTTACAGAAGATTTACGTTTTATTAAGCAAAAACAGAGTATTGGTTTTAGAAATATATGATGTAGTTAACAAAATCCAGAAAAAGAATAATATAGAAAAAAATCACCCACAGTTATTGAAAACATCCCGCATGATGGGTGCTGTGCTGCAATCTACGTTTACATTCTCATTTACTCCCCTCAGCAATTCTCTCTGGTGGTGGCCACTGTGATTCTATTTTACAGAGGGCAAGTGACTTGCTGAACGGTACACATCTGGGAAGTGGTATGGCTGGAATTTGAGGTCATGCTTTCAACAGTCAGTACACGACTGCTCAAGCAGGCTAGCATAGCATATGGATGGAAGCAAGAGAATGCTTCTTTTTCGTACCTATGTCTTTATATGTGAAAAGTGATGTTATGTTGAACATATTAGGAATCAAGATGAGTAATTTCTATTTCACCATGAAAATGAATTAACAAATTATTTTAACGTAGCAAAATTCCTCTACCGAAAGAATTGCACAAAACTCCACCATACATTCACTGTTCATCTGGAAGGAGGAGGTCAGAAATGGAAAACTCTAAAAGCAATTTTATGAGGCAGACAGAATTCCTTTGGGACATCATATTAAGCTATTTTCAGTAGGGAGTACAAATATTTTTTTTTGAAAATGCTAAGAAACGCCTTTAAAACATTTCCTAATAGGGTCATTGTGGCTTATAAAGACCAGAAACCAATTTGCCCCATGCCTGAAATACTGTCCAGTATTTACTATTAATTTTGTTCTAACAATAGCCTACCTTGATCAATAAATATAAATGTTGTAAAAAATAAATCTGATAAAGTTTATGTTTTTTTCATTTGATGCAAAATTACTTTTTGCACTTTTTGGCAGTTCATTAGAATGGCGATTTCATCTTAAGATTAGCTTTCTCTTTCCTTTTGTGTTATCCGAATTGAAAACTGATTATTGCCATATGTACTTCTTTACATTTTCTGCAGCATATAATTAAGACCTAAACTTATATATTTGTTGTCCTTTTTTACCTAATGAAAATAATTCCAAGGTTTGTAGAGAGAAATAAGAAACCATTCTTATTTCTTAAAACTTATTAAAAACTTTTTTTTTTTTTTTTTTTTTTTTTCTGAGACAGAGTCTTACTCTGTCACCCAGGCTGGAGTTCAGTGGTACAATCTTATCTCACTGCAACCTCTACCTCCCGGATTCAAGTGATTCTCCTGCCTCAGACTTCTGAAGAGCTGGGATTACAGGAGCCCACCACCAGGCTAACATTTGTGTTTTTTAGTAGAGACGGGGTATCACCATGTCGGCCAGGCTGGTCTCGAACTCCTGACCTCAGGTGATCCACATCCACCCACCTCAGCCTCTCAAAGTGCTAGGATTACAGGTATGAGCCACCATACCTGGACGCACTGAAACCACTTCTGAGGACTCTCCTATACTCTGGAGTACTTAACTATGAAGTCTAAAGTTGTGGGATGTATAAGCCACCTATAAAGCTAGACAGGCCAACTCTAAAGCAAAGGGTAACATTCTCCACCTTCTATTTTCTCTGGCTGTCCTTCCCTCTGGAGTGTCCTCCTTATACCTATAGGAATGTCTACTGTCTGCTATCATAATTTGTTAATTTGAATAGGCTCTGATATCAATCATTTCCACCTTACTAAAAATTAAAACTCTATGTATTCTCTCCTAAAGGAATTTTCTTTTAGGCCTTGTTTATAATGTGGCATGGGAAAAATTTCTTCTCCCATCTTCTACCTCCTTTAAACATATTTTGAACATCAGGGATTAGGTAGAAAAGATGTTAGTGAAGGTAAAGGAGTAGCTTTCAGAAGCTTAGTTATGCCATCTAACACAAGTTTGTGCATAGCTATGCATAGCTAGTCCCAAAGAAAACCACAATAAATTGCATGAAATAATCAATGAATCTGAGGTGCTTGAATAATAGAATCTTAGAACTAGTTGGTAGGAATTCATTGTATTCTTCCCTCCCACCCACTGTAATAATCTTCTCTGTAAGAGCAGTAACAGATGGTCAAGAACTTGTACCACTATTTTGGTTTCTCGTATTAAAGTGGCTAGATTTCAGAACTTCTTGGCAAGCTTCTATTCAAATGCAGAAATGCATCTGCTTAGAAACTCAAAAATAAACATGTTTTCCAAAGGAATCAAGTATGTTCTATAAAATCCTGGCCTGTTCATAGGATATGGTAAGCATGAATTTCATTACAAGTTAATTCTACTATAATGGCAGTGAGGTTCTTTGATCCAAATTATGAAGTGTTGAGTGTGGTTGGTGATGGTTGGAACTAAGGGGAGGGAGCTGAGAACTGACAGATGTATGCTTAAATCCTGGATGTATCCTGCCATCAAATTTCAGAAAGTTAAGAAATAATGTTTTGTAAGAGAATTTCATCTCGTAATTTTAAGTCACTGCATTCATTCTATGTAGATCAATCAGAGTGGTGGGAAAAATTACAGGGAAAGGACACAAACCTTCTCAAAGGGCAAAAGGTTTTGCAAAGCTCTGGGGGAGAATGAGCTGAAGGCAGCTGTTCTCTTACCCTGAGGCAAAGGGCAAGGAGTAGGTACAAGGGAATGTAGGGGAATTTGTCTAAATAGGCTTGTTTACTTATGTTGCCCAGAAACTGACCTTTTATCATCCACACCAGACTGCTCTCTGTAAGGGAGAACAGTAGTGTTAATTACCCACAGAGGGGGTCAGCTCCAGGCTTTCTCCATGAAATCTGTTATTATAGTCAGACACCAAATCCAGTAGAGTAAATTGGGACCAAATACAACCTGTAATAGGCAGAGTCAGTGAGGTGGGGCAGCCTCTGTTTGAGTTCCACACACATTGGCACTCAGCTAGGGATTCCAGACACTCAAACTTAGCAAAAAATAGGACAAGAAGCATGGTACATGACTTAACATTAGTCTGTGTACATTTCTATATGGAGCAATACATTTGTAATGCTTCTTAACATGTAATGATGATACAGACTTTTATTTTTACATATAGTCATTAGCTTTCAAATGTACTCAGCAGATGATATGACTGCACATATTGGGATTTGGTATATAACCTTTCAGTCTTTTTGACAGAGTGATAACATTGGTAATCTTCATAATTATTGCTTAATGTTTCTTTGCTCTCTTTCCTTTTAGAAGTTCTCTGTGACTCATTTAATGGAGAAGAGATTCCATTAATATTCAAATGATAGATGAACAAGCATTTAAAATAATTTCTATTTTAATCTTGAAATAAAACAGAAAGCATTTTCTGTCTAGCATTATATAAATGCTGTATTTATGAGCTATGTGGGTATTTATTTTAGGCAGAGATCACTTTCAAAAATGAGGCAATTATACCATGACACATTATCGGTTGATTTGAACAACGTTAATTTCATATTTAAGACTTAATTTGATGTTACATATTTCACCATTTCAGAGAGGTTTCCTTGTGATCCTGATAACTCAAAATAACCTGTTTTCACTCGTTACCTATCATTCCAACAGTCTCTTTTCAACAAACCACCAAAAAAAAAAAAAAAAAAAAAAAAAAAAAAAAAAAAAGCTTCACAAAGGGTTTTGGAAGTCAAATGATTCTTACAAAACTTTTGGATAATTCAAGTGCAAACTAATCAGAAACACGTGGAACTGAATTCCCTTTGAGATTTACAATCAGGGTGAAAGGACTTGGCAAACTGTAATGGTTAAATGACAAAATATCAAGAATTCTCAGCCTCACAAGTCTCTGAATTTTCCCCCAATTCATATATGTTTAAAAGGGAAGCACATGCTAGAGGCTGGAATTGGGGAAACTGCCCGGTTATTTGATCTAGTGTTCTGCATCAGCACCTCATCCACCACCCAACACCTTAATCTTCTCGACCAGCATGATTTTTATGAAAAGGGGAACCAGAAGTGAGATGTATGGTCATCCTATTAATACTGCACATCTGTTCTGAGACTGTGATTAGCTCTGAAACTCTTGTAATAGAAAAATAATTTAACTCCCTCTTAAAATCTGAAGCAAACATTAGTAGACTTCTATTTTTATAATACAATTTTCTTCCCGAAAGATTCGCATCTGTGTACTCATTATTTTCTAAAGTACATATTTACTTCACATCAGGCATACAATAGTTGACAAAACAGCCATCTTTCTTCCCTGTATGGCGCTTACAGTATAGTGAATTATTTCATGAGACAGATATCTACTGAAGGTGTTTTGGGAGGCAGAGCTTTGGAGGGAATAATTTGCCAACACTGTACAACATAAAGGTATCATCAGGGCCCAAGGAAGGAAAAGATTTGCAGATGTCTTGGTAAGAACTGATGATGGAATAAACCAGAAAAATGGAAGAGGAAATGAAAAATTGGAATAACACAGGAGATGGTTTAGATATAAAATCAGCAGGATTTGGTAGCTACTTGACTTTGGGAATCAAAGATGAATTTCACTAGAAAAATAGCTGTGCTGATACAAGAAAATACAAGACGCTTGAGAGACGCAGTCAAGTGTGGGTTTGCATACTTGTTTTATGTGCTCTACAGCAAATTACCACAAACCTAGCAATATAAAACAATATGCCTTTATTATCTCACAGTTTCTGTGCGTCAGCAGTCTGAGTATAGCTTAGCTAAACTCTCTGCTCAGAAGTTCACAAGGCTGTAATCAAGGTTGCATTCTACATTCTCATCTGGATGCTGCATTCTCATCTGGAGGCTTGATGGGGAAAGATCCTCTTTTCCAAGTTTTTCAAGAATTTTTATATTTGTGATTGAATGACTGATGATCTTAGCCTCTTACTGATTGCAGCTAGAGGCAAACTTTAAGTCCTAGAGGTAGGTCCTTGCCACCTGGCCGTCTCTATAGGCAGTTCATAACATGGTCATTTGCTTCTTCGAGGTCAATGGGAGAATCTCTAGTTGCAGTGGGCTAAGAGAGTCTTGTATACTTAAGGCAGTGACATTTCGCCATCTTTGCCATACAGTATAAACTCATCAGAAGAGTGAAATCCTGCCTTTACATATTGTATTGGTTAGAAGCAAGTCACAGGCTCTGCCTACATTCAAGAAGAGAGAATCAAACAAGAACGAGGATGCAATGAAGGTCACCTTAGTGTACGTCTGATCTGTTTGGATGTGTTATGTTTGAGGTATTAGAAGAGCCTTTGGTGAACAAGTCACCTGCAGTTATAAACTAGACAATGTACATGTAAAACGTTTTTTCCTTTGTGAACTTTTGATAGCAATTAGAGTTAAACTGCTATTTCCTTATTTCTTTATCCAGTTTGTGCTGATTACATCTACAAAATAAAAAGAAGTAAACCTTAATTATGACAATAAAAATGAAATTGTATTTGTCAGGTGGTGATGAAAATGAAGCTTAGAAATATATGCACAATGGCATCTCTCAGATAAGGCTAGAAAGTTTGGAAATGGATATTTATTCCTTAAAGACAAAGATAAAATAATTTAATTTTCTTTTCCAAAAAAACTTCATAGCACATAATTTGGCAGGCTCTCAGCCAAATATCTTTTGGAACAAGAAATAATACCTCCTGCGACACATTAACTTCTGAGCCAATTTCAATCTAATATACAGAAGTTAATTCTAGTCAGCTCTCAAGAAAATCTTGACCTTCAAATATCAATTTGAAAAGCTGAACAGAGATGTAAAAGCAGAGCCCTAGAGACAATATTCTAACAATTTGTGCTGCACTACTAGGTTTGTTTTCTTCTTATCTTATCCCTAAATGGCAAAATCAAATGAGCATAGATCAACTATATCTTGGATTTATATGACAAAATCTGTCAACAAATCAATAATATCATTATGCATAAAGTAAGCCTTACTCTATATTTCACTTCTGGTGGCTTTAGTCCACAGCCACTCAATTTTCTAAAGGCAGAAGTTTGAACAAAAGATCACTATATTTCACATAGAATGAATAAATCTGATAACTCTGTAAAGAAGAATATCCCATTGACCAAATTTTGACTTAGTTATGTTATATAATCATAGATTATAAAAAGCTACTTCATAGCTATGTTTTAAAAATCTAGATATAAACTCTCAAAAGGCAAACTATAACTTGAGGAGATATTTGAGATGTATTATACAATAAAGGTTATCTTTTATAACTAGAGAACTTTTAAAATCAGTAAGATGAATACAATGAAAGTAGAAGAATACATGAAAGACATGAAGAAACTCAGTGGCTAATATGTTTATGAAGAAGGCTTTATCTTCTTTGGAATTAAAGACAAGTAAGTTAAGCAATGAACTATTTTTAACACATCTAATAAGCTAATCAATATACCCAGAATAAAGTACAGGAAAATGAGTACTTTTAAGTACTGGAGATGGCATACATTGGCACCAGCTTTCTGGAAGACAACTTTCATATACATCAAAAGTTCTAAAATGCAATGATTCCTTGCACCAGCAATTCCACTTCCAGGAATTAATCCTAAAGGGAAAAAATGTGATTTAGCGTCAAAGGATTTTTTAAATCACAATTTTCTTAAAATAGGAAAAAATTAGAATGAGAGAATATTCAATGTTAGGGGATTTGTAAAACATGTTACAGTATAATCACAGCCTGCCACCATGACTTTTAGCCTGTTTTTCCACTCTGTGGCCTATTCTCTCCTTTCTGAGAACAACTGCCAGCTTCACATCTCCCAAAGAGTGTTCATAACATATAACCCTTTGCACCCATCCATTCCCCTGTGTTCTTAGTTCATCAGGTGTGGATATACTAAACCAGCATAACCATATGCTCCCTTGGAAGTTTAGAGTTGGAATAAAGAGGCTCTGGCTAATTTGGCACTTTACTCAAATGGCAGAGCTGTGAATTCAGGTGCTGTAGTGGCCATTTACACAGAGAAAAGGAGAAAATAGCCCCCAGAGAAGAATAAAACAAAAGTAGGGAAAAGAGGCATTATGGTATGGGTGCTAAGGCCAAGGTCATGCCTCAAGTCACAAGGTCATGCCTATCCTTGACTGACATGCAAGGAGGGAACTCATTGTTGGACATCCCACCTTTTATTTCTGAGCCCTTCCTTCCCATTTTTTTTTTTTTTTTGCTTTTATTTAGATGTTGCATGTATTTGTCATTTAAGACTTCCCAAGAATGACTTTCTAAAAGCACCCCAATTTTTTTTTGGCCGTTCATCAACCTCCAAAACCCACCACCATTTGTTTTGTTGGTGGCAGGGGAATCCAGACGCCCACAACTCAAATCCAGATGCCTGAAACCCATATGAAAGCTGAAGCTGACAGATGCTATGATTCATCATCCCTGCTGAAGGCAGAAGATAGGCCCACACCTAAGCTCAGCCACTGATGCTCTCTGACAGGCCTTTGAATCTTAAATAGCAGTATCCTATCCACACCACTGTACTTTCCACATCTGGATATTCGGGATCACCCTAGGCTCCTGCCCATTCCCACACGTATCCCTCAGCCTTTCCTTGCTTTTCCAACACTCATAGCCTTCTAATACATTACATTTGATTAAGTTAGCTGAAGTCCACTTCTGTGATGGAAATATTTTTAAATATATTGATGTGTACTTTTCTTTCTCATGTTTCCTTGTATATGATGCCCTCTTACTTCAGCTAGCAGAGGCTTGGCCATTATGTTAAGGAGGCTAAGTATTAAAACAGCAATGTAAGATAAAAAGGCGTCCTTGTTCAGCTTTTGATTTCCAAAATTAGACTTGTTTGAATTTCCAGTAAGACTCTTGTAAATGAAATTTTGTTTAAAGAGGTCAGTTTTTTCTAAGTTCCTTAAACTCCAATTTTCATATAAAGATCTAGCCCTGGTGGACTTTTGTCACAGATTTTTACTATGAAGTACTGTGTAGAGATGACAAATGATATGACACAAGGGATATGCTCAGTAGTAAGGAGGAAGAAGACATTCTTTCACCATCAAAGGAAAGCACAGGTCTCAGAGAGGATTCAGTTAAACTGATGAGATGCCTGGTTCCCTTTGCTGAACTACAACAGCCACACTGCTATCCCTGTGCTGTGGCCAAAGAAACAGAACAAGACAATTCAAAATGCCCATAGAAAGCTGAAATAGATTAAATGAGAGGTTGCTGCTCTGCTTCTCTGTCAACAGGCCAAAGAGCTGCACAGTAGGGATTACAAAGAAAGCATCTGATGATGTACCCAAGAGGGTGCCCCAGTTCTCCCATAGACTACACAAGGCATGCCAGAAACCCAGAAATGCCTGTGTGGCTCAGTGGGGAAATGTGGAGAGGCCACAGAAACCTAGAGGGGCCTCTCATTGAGAAAAGGAAGCTTCATAGCCAGGGGACCTTACTCCTTGAGGCAACTGGCAAGAAGTGATACATTAGAAGTTAATGCCAGTGAAATATTCTACAAGGTTGGGTATAACCAGTCACATCTTAGAGGACACCAGCAGAGGGTCCTTGGAGACCAACCCCTCTGTAGTGAAGAACATCAAGAATGTGGCAGAGAGTGCCCTCAACTCCTGCCACATGAGGATGGGTGCAACCTCCTCCTGCATATTGGAAAGAAGAATCAGAAAAGGAACAGCCTATGTTAGCAGAAGTCACAGCCAAAATAGGGCTCTAAATTGCCAAAAGTTAGTCACTCATAAGAGACTGACTGAGTAAACTTGGAAAGGTTGTTTATCCTGCCTTCACCTGAAATTGAAACTGTCTGCCATAGGGACATGGATGAACCTGGAAACCACCATTCTTAGCAAACTGACACAAGAACAGAAAATCAAACACCTCATGTTCTCACTCATAGGCGGGTGTTGAACAATGAGAACACATGGACACAGGGAGGGGAGCATCACACACTGGGGTCTGTGTGGGAGAACTAGGGGAGGGACAGCAGGGGTGGGAAGTTGGGAAGGGATAACATGGGGAGAAATGTCAGATATAGGTGATGGGGAGGAAGGCAGCAAACCACATTGCCATGTATGTACCTATGCAACGATCTTGTATATTCTTCACATGTACCCCAAAACCTAAAATGCAATAAAATATATATATATATATATAAAACAAATTGTCTTCCAGATAAAATAAAGGAAGTTATAGAATATGTTGCACATGCAGACTATAAAGAGTATCCCTTTTTTTTTTTTTTTTTTTTTTTTTTTTTGAGCTGGAGTTTCGTTCTTGTCACCCAGTCTGGAACGTGTTGGTACGATCTGAGCTCACTGCAAACTCTGCCTTCTGGGTTCAAGTGATTATCCTGCCTCAGCCTCCCGAGTAGCTGGGATTTCAGGTTCATGCCACCACGCCTGGCTAATTTTTGTATTTTTGGTAGAAACAGGGTTTCACCATGTTGGCCAGGCTGGTCGCAAACTCCTATCCTCAAGTGATCCACCTACCTCAGCATGAGCCACCACTTCCAGCCAGAATACACTTAATTCTTGATATAAACATAATCGAGTCTACTAAGTAAAATAATAGACAAGATGGAGAGGGGAGTTACAGTCAGATATTAAAAAGCCAATATCAAAAAAGAGACTACAGATGTAGTTGGGTCCTTTCCTCTTTTCAAGGTTCCTACTTCTGTTTCTGCATCCTAAATTTTGTCTTCCCTATCTGCTCTTAGATCTTATCTCCTCTGTAACTTACTCTGATATATAAGTAGAGGAAAATGAAATGAGTCTAGAGTCCATGTTTAAAAAGAGAACAAAAGAAATATGGGTGCCAGTATGTCTCACGTCCTCAACTATCTCAAGCCATATGCTCAAAGAGGAGAAGATCTTGAGGAAAGTATCAAAATGTTTGTAAAGTTCATTGTCTAGTATATCTGGTTTTTAAAAAAAATTATTATGAATATATAATTGTTCATCTTTTGGGGAAGCATATGACATGCTGATACAAGCATACAACATGTAATGATTAAATCAAGGTAGTTGGGGTATTCCTCACCTCAAGCATTTATCTATTTTTTGTGTTAGACCACCACCACATGTACAGCATCCCCCTAGGACTCCTCCATGTCAACCCTGTGGGAACCCAGGCAACAGAATCAATGTAAACATGAAGTTATGCTGCCTGCTGTGTCATGATAATGTCCCTTGTCTCTCAATCAGGAGCGTCATGTCTTCTTCCCAGTCTCTGTGGAACTGTGGTAGGCTATTAAACTAACTTGCAGGCAGGGTAACATCTCAGATACTTTGCAGTTTCTTATAACCAGCTCTTTCTAGGTGAAAGACACATGGATATCACTGCGAAATTTCACGCTCTGTATAGCTCAAAATTTTGCCCAAGGGGAGGTTCCAGCATCATCTGATTAGTACATATTGCTGAGAAAATACTAAAGGAAGAAAATATTAATAACAATACATTTCACTAACCCTCATAGATATTAAAAAACGAATGAAAAGTTCTATATTATCGACTATTAAACACTTATAATCTCTGTTGTTAAACTGACAGGTAAACTGCATTGCCTAGAATATTGGCCATATTTTAGCGATACTAATTAAATTGTGTGAGATAAATCTGAAGACAGCAGAAGCTTGATATAGTACAATAGGCCTAGCTCTTTAAAAAGGATATGTTTCATGGAATTCTATTTATCAACAAATATGTATACTACTTCAACAAGACTTCAGTGTGATTTCGTTTGTTTATTCTCCTGAGTCAGATGTGAACAATGTAATCCTAAAAGACTTTGGGGAATGGTGACATAGGCTATTTAATTCACACTCATCAGTCTAAGAGAAGATAAGAGAATGTCATGCTTATGTGTGACAAAGATAAAACTATATTCTAACTAGAATTATAACAATAAAACACCAGCAACTTGACAACTTGACATTTTTTCATGGTGTTTAAAGATAAATGTTAATGTCACTTTGATTTCCTTTAATTTTCAAACCTCTATTGCTGAAATAGTAATTTCATTCTTTCGAACTTTCATAAGAAAATAATAGAATTGTGCTTTACATAAGTATAAAACATAGTCAACATTTTCTGCAATGAACAGGTAAACAAGATTAATAAGATTTCTCTTATTTATAAGAGCATAAGAAAAATGGATAGCGCAAAAATGGACAGCAAAACAGGGTTACATTAGCTACTGTAACAAACTCCAACAATGGTTTAATACAATGGAATTTTATTTTTTGCTCATGCAGCAGTCCAGTACAGGTGTTCATGGTCTGCTGCAGGGGTCAGGATGCATCCGTCTCGTGCAGTCATATAGAGACCCAAGTTAAGGGCTGTGATGTGTTCTCCAAAACATGGCTTTAGAGGTTGCCATGGACAGCAACATCCAACTGATGGAAGAGGCAAGACAAAGGATGCAAAACCACACCAGCTGCTTAATTATCTTGGTCCAGAAGTGACAGATGCCACTACCTCTCACGTTCTATTAGTGGAAACTAGTCATATGGCCTCTCCTAACTGCTAGCAAGTATAGAAAAGTTGGTTTTTGCTGGGCAGCCACAAGGCAAAGCTACTAAGAAAGGGATAGCATTAATTTTATGTTGAATTTTTGTCTTTCTTAAAAAACTCTTTGAGAAATACATTGGGGAAAAAAGTTAACTGGAATAATATCAGTTAGGTATGAGCTTGATTGTTTCTAACTCATATTTCAAAATTACCATGATATAGCGATTTAAAGAGGAAGAAATAGGCTTAAAGATTGGGACATTCAGACGGCTATATTCAACACAGAAAAGATATTTGGTGATTTTTCTCTCGCTTTTTCTTAAATGTACATTCTTCTGGGATTTAATAAAGTCACATTCTGATTTTTTAAAACAGTACTATTAATCTCACTTTAGAGTTTTGAAAATAATTCAATAATGCTGTTATATTACAGCAGTTATTGATTATCCATTTTTTCCAAAGACACTGAGATCTATGGAAGAAATAAGCTTCATTATTTTTCATTTGTATTTAATAAATGTAGAAGCAACAAAAAAAGTTGCTTCTTTACACACTGCTTTATGTTATTGGTATTAAAAAGAATTAGTTAAAGCTTTAAGTTAAATTACTTTTGAATTAGTTTATGGCCAGGTACACATGAAAGAAACACTCTACATTGTCTACAGTGGCAATTGCCAAGAAAAAGTATATTTTAGTAACATTTTGGCTAAGCACCTCAAATTCAAAGTAATTCCACATTTAAATATTAACACTCAAACCTGAAAGTAAGTCTTTAAAAGCTTTTTACATTGTTTCTCTTGAGTGAGAGTTTTATGACTATGCAGTGGGTGGAAAGGGGAGGAAGGAAGAGGGACTGCCTCACTATAAGCTGATAACAAGGTTGCTAAAAATCGTTCTTATCAATGGTCTTTGCACTTAACTTGTTTAAATAAAAGAAAAAAAATTCTGTGAGTCATCGTATTTTGTTCACTCCAGCTTGGCAGGTCACCTTGTTCTAGCAGATAGAAACTGAATCAATATGGAAAGAGCCAGCATTTGGACAAGGTTCACCAAACATTCACACTGATGCCAGGTGGGCCAAGGAAAAGGGAATGTCCTGCCACTGAAGTATCTAAACATTTTTATGCTCAATTACGTCAAGAGTTTGGTCTTGTGAAGGCAGAGCTTTGAATTTCTAATAGAAAAAGAGACACCGAGTATGCCCAGAAACTCCTTATTAAATTTATGGTCCTCTAATAGTATTCTGAAGGAATCAGACAGCATTCTAGAAAAGAACCCATTGATCTGTGCTTTCCTATCTATAGTTTAAATTAACCCTTCCATATATGTATACATTAAGCAAATTCAAATAGCATTAAAAATAAGTTACATTTTTCTCTTCTAACCCTTCCCATTAGTCCCACTTTCCCCCATTGTCATGCACACATGCACATTGGAAGAAAAGGTGAATAAATGTCAGAATTAAGTGGGAAGATTAATCATATGCTGTTTTTAAAATTGTTTTATTCTAAGTCAGAATACACTTTCAGGACATAGGCAAGCACTTGGAACATACGACTCAGAACATAAGATGCTTCATAGGAAACAGGCAAGCACAGCAATTAAATGGAACTCTACATTTTTAAGGAAAGCTTTTTACTTTTCTTCCTCTTTTTGTTTCTCTTTACTTTTGCAGCTTCCTTCAAAAGCTCTTCCTGTGAGACACATTTTTAACTACTATATTGTTCAATTTTAACAAGGGTTCAGAGTGAGGACGGTTATAGCTGAGGCATTCACAAGGATTTCCTGTTTGTAGTGGCTGCTTTTTCCTTGTTGGTAATGTGTTTTTTACATTTTTAAAAAGCTGCCTGTGTGCTTTAATATTACTTAATCTCCATCACCTTAAGAAACCATAAAGGGCTGGGAGAGGAACACAGTGCTGGCTCTTTCCCTTTCTCAGTGACTTAAGACAAGTTAACCTCACTTAACTTTTTTGAGCAAATGAAGATAGTAACACCTGCTCTGAATTATCACAGAATTATTGTGAGACTCAAATAAAATATATGTGTTTTATATTTAAGGAATCAACATGTAATACAGATCTTGAAGTGTTAGTCAATTGTATCTGAGATAAGTTCACCAATATCCAAGGAGGAAAAAGAGAGCTCCATACCCCATAGGAAATGTGGTCCACTGATAATTTGTCCACACAATTAGAATACAAAATAGCACCCTGTGCTTCAACTTCTTTACAGTCAAAGAAAGCATGAGGTATAAATAGTCTGGAAGGGATCTAGAGTCCATTTGCTCTGCATATGATTTGCACATGCTCCTCTGGAAAGTCGCCAGGCAACCAAGTAATTATACAATAATGATGTGGTTAAAAAAAATAGATTTATCTACTTTTATTATTGTTACAAAATAATACATGAAAATATTTTAAAAATTCAAATATTAAAAATCATATTCCCTGTCCTACTCTCTGTCACTTACACCATTTCCCAGTTTCTGCTTTTAGTTCTGGTGGTTTCTGTTTTGCTCTCCACTGTGACTGACATACATTTATACTTCTATTTTTTGATGACTCAAGTTTCGATATTATCTCGTCACTCCCAATACAAGATATTCAGTAGACACACTGCACCCCCGCCTCCATCTCCTAAGTGTTATTTTATGTGTGTATGAACACACAAACATGCTAACACACGCACTCAATCTTTAGCTCTTCTATAGGTTCCTGTATTAATTGGTCAGTAGTATACTAAGCCTCTGCTTATGGTTTCAAATTTAGACCCTGCATGTTAACCAACACTATCCTGTCAGTGAGATTTTTTTACATTCAGGGCCAATGCACTACTGCCTCCTTAGAGAACAGTGCCTCCTGGAGTTGAGCAGTGCACAGCTCTACAGATTAATGCAGGGGCCCTAATCATATTTGTAGTTTGTTCCTGTACATGTTTAATCAATCTTTAGAATCTCGTCTATAGGTGATTCATTGTTGCTGGGAAACAAACGGCATTTACAAAGTCATAATTTTAGTAATGTTATTCATTCTATAAATGAATAGTACCTTTCTCTCCATAACCTTCAAAAAGTCTTTATAAGTTTCTGAAATTTCACTAGGATAAGTTGGTGGATGTTTTTCTTACCCATTCAGTACTTTGTGGGCTTTTTCAAATGGCACAATTTTTTTTAACTCTGAATAATTTTCTTCTATTACATCTTTGATCATTTTTCATCCTGTTTTCCCTATTCACTCTAGAACTTTTTTCCATTTTTTAAATAAAATACACATACGTAAATTACAATCTTAACCACTTAAGTATACAATTCAATGGTATTAAACATATTCATGATGTTATGCCACCATAACCACCATCCATCTCCATAACTCTTTTTATCTTGTAAAACTGAAACTCTATGCTCATTAAGCAATAATTCCCCATTCCTCCTTCCCCAAATCCCTGGAAACAACCATTCTACTTTCTGTCTTTATGATTTAATACTCTAGTTATTTCATATAAAAGGAGTCATGCAGTATTTGTATTATTGTAATTGGCTTATTTTACTTAGCATAATGTCTTCAGGGTTTATCCATGTTATAGCATGAATCAGAATTTCCTTTAAGGCTGCATAATAGTCCACTGTATGTATACACCATATTTACTTATCCACACATCCATTGATGAACACTTGCATTACTTCCATGGTTTAGCTACTGTGAGTAATGC